AACGGAAAAGAAATGAAAACGGTTAAAGATGATGTTGCCCTTCACTTACAACGGTGTCGGTGCGAATACCCTTACAATGGTATCCGCCCTGGTTTTTGCAAGCGACATAAAATAAGTTCGGTATAAAGTTTAAGTATACCGCGCGAGGTGAGGTGGTGTCTGAGGTTTACGTTGACTGAATGGTTGACCAGAGTAAAGAGTGTGTAGGTGCGCAGTTTTGAGGCGCGCGTGATCTTTTATTTGTTGATGATTGAAGAGTCAGCGCGATCGCCGACCAGATTTTTATTTTCTTATTAAACTAGGATTAAAAGGATTATGCCTCTTGATTGATGCACTTGCCCGTGACTTGTGCGCATGTGCGGAGGACGACGTTGACGACTGCATGGTTCGGTATAGTCGTGCGGTGTACGCGGAAGGTTGACAGTCGTGAGTTCTGTTGATAGGCCGATGTGTGGGTTTGAAACATTTTAGTAGATCCGCGCGTCATGCAATATCCGCTTATTTAGGTATTTGTCAAAACTAGACCCAGACTTGGGCCTAGCATCATTGATTATAGCATAGGACTTTCATCGAAAAGATTCAGGGATCGAGATCGAGCGGCAACGACGTGGGGATATCAGAGCAGCGCGGAGGGCCCGACGGGGCTATCCCCTTGAGCGGAGTAAGCGGGCAAAGACTGTGGCACAGGCCAGCAACAATACTGAGGAGCGGGCCACCGGGTGGACTTGGGCTAGGGGCGAAAGACTAATCGAATCTGTCTAAGCGGCCAGTTACTCTGAGGCTTTTGTGGGGAACAGCGAGGAGCGCCAGGGATATCAGTCCAGGCTGTTGCGTTGTCGGATGCTGCGCTAACCTGATCAAGGTAGGAAGGAAAGTGACGGGCGGTAGGAGAGGACAAGGCCGACGGGGATAAGAAAAGCGGGGAATGAACCCGACGCGGTTTCACGCCAGGTACGGTCAGAGATGGCATATAGAGGTAAGTAGGGAGACAACCAACCCACGCGAAGCTTGATGGAATCGGGTGAGAAGGATGGATTAGACAAGGGGAAAGAGCAGGGGCGGATCTTAAGGCGCAGAGGGGGAGTGACAAGCAGCAAGCAAGAAGAGGAATAAAGAGGAATGAATCTGGGTGCGGAAACGCGCCGGGTACGTTCAACGATGAAAAACTGTGAAAAGTAGCTATGGAGTTAGCATAGGTGTGCAATTTACTCGTTTCTTTTCAGAAACGGTCGGGAGAAACTGCTTACCCGGGATTTTTGGGATAGGCGACTTCAAATATGAAGTTAGTTTTAGTAATAAGTTAGCAAAGTCGGAGGTTAGTGAAGAAAAGTGTGCGCGGAGGAAACGGGAGGGGAGGTATGGCAGAAGAAGTAAGTTGAGACCTCACTTGATTCTTAATAGATTCAAGCGAGATAAAATGCTATATGGGGGTTTTCAGACAGGGCGAATCAAATGGAGAGGTTAGATTCATAAGAAAGTCGGTAGGATAAATCCTAGCATAACCTAACTAATTGCCCCAGAGGTTGAAACTCTGTGACTAGCCTTCTACTATTACTATCTTACCTATGGCTTTTAAATACCTCTTCAATACCTCAAACCCTCGTTACTTTTTGTTTGAGTTATCTTTCAAAGCAGTGGAAAGTCAGCGTCAAGCCTGCTAATGTTGTTATCTTCCCTTGCAGCAGAACCTTCTTTTGAAAATTTTTTGTTAGGTCCTTGGCTTGCATTGGGTTTTGTTGGGGCTGCTTGCAGTTTCGGTGCCATCGAGTGGTGGGGGCCTGAGTTCGCCAGTCTAACACCTAGATACCACAAGGGCTCCGCAGTTGAGACTCAACTCATCCCGGTGTAGTTCGCTGGGTGGAGTTGCCCCTCTTCTGTCCCTTGTACCAGCCACCAACCCATTGTCTTGGGCCAATTGATTCTCATTTTTGATACTAGCTGGAAGGCACTCATTGCCCTTGTGAGCACTTCGAAGGAGGAGTCTGAGGCCCGTATAAGAACTATTAAGTCATCTGCGAAGAGTATGGTTGTGGGGAGCTTGATGGTTCTACCTTGCTGGTCTGGTTCTGCTACTAACCTGTCTATTGAGGGGTCCTTCCTTAAGAAGGAAGCTATCGCTTCCATGATAAAGAGGAAGATAGGAGCCGCTAGAGGATCGCCTTGTCGAACCGACCTTGACATCCTATACCTCTCTGACAGGTGTCCATTTACCTGGACCTGTCCGTGGCCGTCATTATAGAGGACCCTTATCCATTTTCGAAAGTTGGGGCCCACTCTCATTTTTTCCATACATTGCTGAAGGAAATTCCAATTTACCTGGTCGTGCGCTTTTTCAAAGTAAAAAAATAAGATGGCTGCATTGATTCTTTTTTCTTTGATGTGTCTTACTAACTCCGAAAACGTCATTACATCATCTACAATATCACCGTTATGAGCGGTACGATTGAACCAATTAAACTATAAGCCCAGGAGGATAAAGCGTCCCGGGATAAATCCCGTCTGGTCTAAATGAAAGCAACCCCTGGTCACCTTACTCAGTCTGTTGGCTACGGCCTTTTCTACTCTTTTGTGTGTTAGTGTCAATAACGTGATAGGTATGTAGTTTTTTATGTCTTTTGGATCTCCCTTCTTGTACAACAATGTGACTATGCCTGTGGCCGGGTCTACTCCCAGACTCTCCTCCTGCCAAGATTTATTCAGGTACTGCTCGTACTGCCCCCCCAAAATTGGCCAGAATTCCATCCATAACTCCCTTGTAAGTCCATCCTTTCTTGGTGTTTTGTTTGGAGACATCGTCTTAAGGGCTGCCCATGGTTCTTCCTGTGAGAGAGGAGCGTCTAGCTTCAGCGCTTGCTCTCCATCTATCACGCTCCAAGTAGGTGAGGAACTTGGTTCTTGCTTCCGCCGTTTGTTGGGACTGCTGTTCAGACTCCCTTGATGTGTAGAGCACACTATAGAAGTTGTATGCCACCGAGACCAAATCCTTCGCTTCTGAAACCACTCCCTTAGGGCCTTCGAGCTGCTCAATTAATGTATTCCTTCCCCTCATTTTGATCTTCTGGAAGAAGTACTTTGTCATACGTTCTCCCTCTTCCCAATCCGACTCTCGCTCGCATTTGCAGTCCCCACAACCTCCATTTCTCCCAATCTCCCAGCTCGTTCCTTGTCGTGTCGAGTAATTTTTCATAGAAATCCTGGTCTGGGTTGTAGATCAGATTCTGCTCAGCTATGCGGAGCGCTTGCTGGAGCTCTTGTTCTCGTGTGTTCCTTTTCGCCGCTAGCTGTCTGGCTACCCCCGTTGCCACTGAGGACATGGAAGAGAGTAGGTCTGGAAAAGATTGGTTCTCTAAACTATGGGCCATGCATGCCCGTGAAATAGCCTGCCTAAAATCTGTTGTATGTAATAATGAATTATTAATTTTGAAAAAACTCCGTCCCCTACTTATCCGTTTGTCTGTGATAAGGTTCAGGAGGATAGGTTTGTGATCAAGACCGCCAAAGTATGGCAAATCTTCCTACTGAATGAAGCATGCCTATTAGATTTTGTGAAATTAAATAATAGATGTGTTGGCTTCTGTTTCTCTTGCAAAAGGTAAACTGTCGTTGTTCTGAGTAATGGAGTCTATATGGATCGATGAGGTCCCATTTGGTCATCATGTCGTGGATGGGGAGTGATTCATCCCCTGCCGAGTTCTCTCCCTCCCTCCATCCTGACATCCTGTCACACGCTGGCTCGAGGGTGGCATTCCAATCTCCTGCTAGTATAATGTGTCTTGCTGGTTCCATCCGCGTCCATAGCTCTTCCAACATGACCGATCGTGATTGACCCGTGTTTGGACAGTATAGTGAGAACAATGTAAACGCCGAATCCTGAAACGTAAAGTTGATCTTGACCCACCTGCCCTCTGCTGTTTGCACCTCTTGGATAAAGATCTTGTTTGCACCCCTTGGATAAGGATCTTGTTTGCTGTTTGAGAGTGCTTGTTGAGGAGCACTACCACCCCTGCCGAATGAGAACGTCCTGCTGCTGCCCAGTATCCTGCTTTGACTCTCCCTAACCTTTCCACAATCCTGGTTTGAATTTGCTGATGTTCCAGGGATGTTGTAAGGTGGGTCTCTTGAATGCACAAGAAATCTGGGGTTGCTGCCGTGCCAGTCTGTACATTTCAGAACGCTGCCCCATTTCTCCTGATTCTCGATAATCTGCACCATACCGTTGACATTCCACGATACCACCCTTAGTTTAAGTTCCAACCTCTTGACCCCTAGGGTAAGTCTCATACGTTTTCTGGACCTCACCTCCTTTGCCTCCACCATTGACGTAAGCCGTCACTTTAGCCTCCCCTCCCTTCGTATTTGCCAATTCAAGAGCCGGCCAGGCCCATGTCAATTCTTGTTGCCACCTGTGCTATCTTTTCCTCCGTGTATTCCGGCTTCCATGCGAAGGCTTCAACTTTTACTGCTATCATTGCCACCCATTCTGCTGCTTCCGATCCCCCCAGTAACCGGTAGGGGATGGTCTCCACCACCTGCCAAGGCATCCAGACCAGGCCCTCACTGAGTTTCGCTGTGTTGTGCAGCTTTATCATGATCGGTCGGAAGTCCACTTTCTGCATGGCCCCTGCTGAGTCCGTCAAATCTTCTCTGTCATCCTCCAGATTCCCCACTACATAGGCTCGGGTTGGGATGTCTTCTGTTAGCAGCTTCCTCAGTGCTTCCCCTAAGCAGTTGCTGTCTTCCGTTGTGATGAGCGCTAGTGAACGGTGGATCGCCACTTCTCAATCAGAGTTCCCCTCGTTCCATCTGTAGGGGAGGAGGACTCTCTTTCCTGGGCTGTTTTTTGCATGGAGCTTGGCTGCTCCGTGGATGTCCCTGTGCGGGGCGTATGCTATCTTCTGCAGGTTGGTTGTGTCCTCTTCCAGCTCCCTGTTTTGCTCTTTAAGGATGCCAATTTGAGCCTCGAGTATTGCCGCTTGCCTCTTCTCCTCCTCCATTTGATCGGTTGAGGTGAGTCTTTGTTCCACCGATTCTCCTCCCGAAGGCGTAGAGTCCTGGCTTTCCTGACTAACCTGATCAGTCCCTTCCTGCTGCATCTTCCGTTTCCTCTCAGATCTCTTCAACCTTTGCGGCTGGTACGTTTTGGGCGTACCCCGCATTTTGCACCGTGATATCATTTTTGTGGTGTTGGGCTTTCCATCCGTACTGAGAGGCATAGAACTCGTTCAACTCCTGTTCCCTTCTCAGAATCTCAAACCGGTTTGTGGAAGCGGTGCCTATCTCCGTTGTTGTTGCCTGTTTCAAATTACATAGGTGCTTGTGGTGTGCCAGACGGATTTCACTTTCAATGTGTCGTTCCCATTGCAAGTTGTGAACAGTCCAGATCCACTTGATCAGGGTGTACGGCTCCTCTTCTTCCTCTTCCCCCTCCTCCTCCCAATCTTCATCGTCTGAGTCTCCCTTCACTTCCTTCTCTTGTCCTTGTGTTGACGTTGCTTCCCCTTGGGTGGCCGGGTTGGAGGCCGATGAGGCTTCCATGGAAGTGCTGAGATCGCTGCTGGCTTGTTGCGAAACATCCATCGCCTCACCTGACTGGCTAGGATTGCCCGTCCCCTCCTCCTCTATCTCCATCACCTGAGTTTGTCCTGCTTTCCCCTGAGAAGAGCCTGATTTGGCACCCATTTCTGTGGACGCGCGTTTGGAGTCTTGTTCGGAGTGTTTGCTTTGAGCTGAGTCCCCAGATTCCGCCTTCCTTTTTGGCGAACTGGTTGAATTGTCCTCCATGCTGTTTCCGCCCCCTGTTTTGCTTCCTTCCCCTTTGCAAACCATGCTCTCCCCTTGGTTGTTAGAGGACGTTTCCTTCTGTGCTTGTTCTCTCGCTCTTCTGTTTTCCAGAAAAGCTGATTCTGCTGCGTGGCCCAACTTGTAGAGTTCCTCCATCAACTGCAGTAGTTGCTTATCGTCCATAATCGTGGATTCGTCGATCATAGGTTTTGTCAGATAGCCAATGTCCTTCTCTTCCATCCTTTTGGCCCCCTTCTGGTGCCACCTGCCGTCGTACGGCGGGTATATGTCCGGCTTTACAGTCGATACCCCCTGTAGCACCCATACCCACCGGGGGATGTCCAGATTGTCGTCAAAGATCCATCCCTGGTATTGCACCAGGTTAATGAACCATACTCCTGGCTTGTTATCCGGCTCCACCAACATTGATTGCCGCAGCTGTATCGGCTTACTCTCTGCTCCGGACTGTGGGCAGTTCATGCCCAGGTGCCCTCTCTCACGATACTGAAAACAGAAGGGACTAGTCTTGGTTGAAACGCAGATCGTGATCCTCTGTCCATTCTTGCGAAAAATCCATACCTTTGGAAATTTTGGGGGAGTCCCCGACTGCACCTCCAAGCAGGCCACTCTCGAGTCGTGGTTAGGCGCCAAAAAATCGGGATTAGCCGGCAACCAGTCGATGATGGGGTTATTAGGGTACTCCTCCGATAGGCGCTTTTGCACGAAACTGTGCATACCCTCTGAGAGGTTGTCGAACTGGACCGAAAATTTGTCCCTCAAATTTGTCCCTCATCATTGTCTGCCTGTGACGGGAGGCCTCGGCTTGGGGCGGTCTTGGAGGTTTCCATGCCTGAACGGTAACTACGGAGCCGTGGCACTTCAGTGATCCCAAGGATAATAGGAACTGGACGTAAGTTGGACGTACGCAGACAATCATCACAGTGAATTTGCCCCTCTTGTGGTAGGAGACCTCAGGTTCCATACCCGGTACATTTTCCAAACCTCTTAGCCATTCCATAACCCACCTCCTCTTCTCATTTTGAGAGAGGTATCGGTTCTTCCCCGAGAAATTGAACAGTACTGCGTGACACTCGTACAGCTCATTCAGCGAAGGTATGTCCTGTTCCGGATATTCCCAGACATCCACCAGTTCCTCCTTGCCCTCCTGTCCTTTCAATGTTTCCTTTGTGATTTTGATGGGCGCCGTGATTTTAGTTTTCTCCATTAGAAATTCAATGGCCTTTTGACCCAGTGCCTTCGGTTGCGTGCAAGTGATTCCGATCTGAGATGCTTCCTGCGTTGTCCCTTTCCCTTGCTGACTTCTGAATTCCCGTTCGCTCCTCTCCCTATCCTCCATAGACATTGCCTTTTGAGCTGCCGCCACGTACGATTGCGCCATAATGAATCTCTGCCACCCCCTTGTGCTCCCCTCCCTCTTGTATTCCCTTCTCCCCCTCTCCTTTTTTTTTTTTTTTTTTTTTTTAACCCACCTGTTTACCCTTTTAAGATTATTTTTTTTTTTAGTGTTTTATGCTGGTTTGCATCCCTTTTCACTTTCTGCTGCGAGAAACAAAAAGGTTAACTACTTTGAAAGCGGATGCTGTATCCACTTACTGCAATCGATATAATCCTGCTCCTTCTGCTATTCCCCGTAGTTAATTCTCCTCACTTCCGTTACTTTTCCCCACTCCTATCCCCCTACCCCCTTAGCTCTCTGACGTACCTTACACGATTACCCTCTAAATGGAGCTCACACCTTCGAGTACCCAAGGAACTGAATACAAATACCTGTCAAATTCTTGAAGACTCGCTGCCAGATTGTTACTGTGTCAAGGTTTGACCATCTCGCAGGAAGTACCCATGTATTTTGTGGAGTTCGACGTGACCCTTCTTTCCATCTGACACCCTTTTCACAGACGCCTCGTCCTCACGCAGGTTCTTGGGTCTCCCACACACACCCCCGTTTCACATTCCTGGCCTCTTCTTCCACACTGCCACTCGCGCGCTCGAGCCCGCTCCCTCAACCTTTCTTGCAGTCTCGCACGTTCACATTCCACACCCGAACGGCAAGGCTCCACACACTCGTCACAATCTTCACTTCCACCGTCCACTCATGCACAAAACCTTACATTACGTTCTCTCCCACTCTCCCCTGCTTTGTCTCACACTCCTCTTTGTGCTCTCCCCTTCTTCCCCTTGCACTTGCATATTTAGTTCTTTTGCTCGAGCCTTGAAGTTCCCTGCTCTCGCATCACAAGCAACCTCCCACTGTCACGGGCTCGAATATACCTGGGCGCGTCTAGCACCAGGCACGGGAATTCGGTAAGAAAATTGTGCTATACCACCCGAAAGGCCTCTAGCAACCCATCTTGCTCAACCGCTTGCACTCTTGCTCCAGTTGCTCTCCACTGTACACAAAGTCCCAGTCTTTTTCCCATTTTACTCCCGAAATCTCGGTTTGAGAACTGAGGGTGCTGACAATGGTATGCTATAGTTGTGCAGGTTACAGACGCGGTGCTTGTACGCATGCTCTGACATGATCCATGCCCTTATTCAATCAGACATTCCTAACTGACATCTCTGAAAAAGTTTGATAAGTACATTGAGTTATTTGGCACAGTAATTGCACTGCTGCTCTGCAAAAAGCTTGAGTAGGCACAGAATGGTTTGTTGAGGCAAAAACACGGTGTAATGTTCTCGTCGTAGAAGTTTTTGGTGGATGGGCTTGCGGAGCCTTGCAAGTTGGTATCCTCCTTGTACCACTCTTGACCATCTTTGAGATTGCGATTTATTGTTACTATACGCCCTGACGACACTCTGAGACGACATTGGTGTTCCTCCATGTGTTTTTTATCTCAAGTCTGTTCTTTAGTTCTACGATGTTGATGTGTATCTGGATTCTGGAGATATCATAGTAATCATATTAATATGTGCATTCATGTTCATGTTGCTATATTACCTTGCCAGGCTGACACTCAAAATTTCCAGAAAAGGGAAGCAAATGAAGATGTATTGACAAAATAGGCCTTTATTTTTGCTGTTTCTGACATGCAGTGATGCTGGCAATAACTCACTTCACGGAATTATCCCCTCAGAATTTGGAAACTTAACTCAGCTAACAGGACTGTAAGTATTGTACCATGTTTGCCCCATGCTACACCACTGGCTATTCTATTTAAGCCTGGTGTTTTTTTTGGAGAGTGCTTGATTTGTGCTTGGCATCCTTGCATAGGGGCAATGCTAAGCTTCTCTGTAGTGTTCCAATTGTAACAGATCGAGGATTTAGTCCCTCGGCAGTGTCCTGAAAGGTCGTGCCCGCCCTAAGTGAAGGCGGGCCTGCAAATGTGTGCCAATGCCTGGGTATAGGCCTATGAGACCAGGCCAAGCAGAGCCTGTTGGAACCCCTACGTGCGCATGGATCTTCCACGAGGCCTCGTTACAAGTTAGCTTCTTGGCATGCCCCTGTGGGGCCTCTTCAGTAAGCATGAGCCAGCCATAAGTGAAGGCGGGCCCCTGAATTTCAATATGACCTGAGTTGTCAATTTAGGGAACGTTTGGTGGATGCCAGACAGTTGCCATGCGCCAGATGGTTACATCGTCCGTACTCGTGAGAATCAGAAATAATTCGTGAGCCTTCTAGGCTCTTCCAGCAGTGCAGGCGAAGCAGGGAGAACCTCACGTTTACACCTGGGTGGTTGGACAGGCCTAACTAATTCGGTCCCAGGCCACTGTCTGGGTGGGCCTGGGCGCAGACACTTTGGCCCAAACGGAAGCTACTGGAAACACACAAGGCCCAGCCAGACAGCAAACTGGGCGAGCACTTTCCATATAGGAAAGACCTCGCCACTGGTGGCTCATTCGGGCACTAGGCAGTGCATGCGGCAGCGCTGCTTCAGCGTGCGCTCGTGGGCAATGCGCTGTGCGCTAGCGCTAAGTGCCAGGCAGTGCGCACGGGCGCTGGAAGAATGCAGGGTGCTGCTGAGGGCAGCGCCATAGCCAGCCCTACATGGCCAGGGCTTGGCTTGGATAGCCAGTGGAGGTGGTGGTGGTCTTCGTGTATGAGGAGGAAAACGTGGGCAGAGAAGACAAGGGAGAGAGAGAGAGAGACATGAGGATGATGATGTGAGGGCACATACCTGGTCTTGGCGATGGTCTACAGGGTCGACATCTTCATGTACTTCGGTTATTGCTGCTGACGTCAACAGGTTGCATTGTCAGTTCGTAGGCTGGTAGTAGATGTGTGATCGTAGTCTGGGCGCTGAGCGCCAAGTAGGAGGAAGGGCTCTGGATACATATGTTGGTGGTGGCAAGAGTATGCTCTCATTGACATTTGGATCCGGTGCTTTGGTTCTCCGATGGTGGACTATCAGTGCATTTCTTATTTCTGGACAGAGTTGGACTTTCTGGCTTTCAATGTGATTTTGCATTCTGAATTTCTGTCATTTCGCAATTGCTCATTTTTCCTTGCACGAATGTCTCTGTAAATTTGAATTTCGAACCCTGCGATTGAGAGAAGTGAGCTTGTGTCTGCAAGTTCTGGTATTTGAGATTTTTTTTCCGTCCTCTTGCTGCCAAACATGTGAGGGCTCGATCCGTTAAGTGGCAGTTGAGAGGGAAGGTTTTCCACTTGTGAGGTAAGGAGTTGACCTGTAATCCTGCAAGCGGCAACAAAATGGTTGGAGAGAGAAGTCCGCTGGGGGATGGCATGCCAGTAGTAGCTTGTTTGGTGTTTCGTAAATGTGGTGGTAGAACAAGTCGCATGGATGCGGAACCATTCTTCTTCTTTTTTTTGGTTTCTATGCATCTTCAGAAAAGATAAGGGTGATAGATCTGGGAGAGGAACGTGGCTGGCCAGATTCAATTCCATGGAAATATTACAACAATATAAAACCCAGTAAAATTGGAAGCTTAAAATCGGTAATCCTATGTTGGGCTGTCCCAGTAAATGAATGGCTAGATGCATGGAGAGAAGGTGGACCACTCGCGCCGCCGGGTAGCGCATAAGTTGCGCCAAGCAGAGTTGTCACGGAGGTGCCACGGACCAAGGCGTCAATGGCATCGCCCATCAACGCCGTCAGGCATCATCACCATCACGCTCCAACGCCATCGTGCCATCGCCCGTTACTTACGCCAATCCACTGAGAGCCATCGCGCGAGGCACGGGACTGACCACTGTTCGTGTTATCGTGTAGACTGCGATGCTCTAACCTCCCGCCCTACGCTGCTTTCCGGTTGGAGTGACAAAAATGTGGAAAAAGGGCCCGGAAAGCGGCCATGAGGTGTGCCAAGGATTTTTGTGAATTTGAGTGTGGAGACCTAGGACGGAACTGAATCTCCCATTTGGTCCCAGATATGGAGCGACAAGTAAAGGGGGAAGGACGAAAGAGAATTCCTATCAATGACTACCTAATCCAAAAAATATCTATGAACTTCGTCGCGAGCGACGCGACGTCTTTTATGGGCCAAAAGGGAGCGGGAACACATGTGGGGTCTCGGTTTTGCACGAGAGTTCGACAGCGTTCCTCGCAGAGCTCAAAATCTGAGTTGGAGGGTTGCAGTCTCACTGCTTTGTCCTTGTCATGTGTCCAATGGTTGAACCCCTAGGC